ACGTTTTGCCTTTAGTATTGAAACTGACTGCCATCTTGAAATTTAGAAGCTCCTCCACAGTGAAGAAAAAACTGCAGAAAGGGCAAAAAAAATATCCATGGGAAAAACAATGCTAGCGCAGGCATGTATGATGCATTACTTTTGATCTCTGCCTTATGCTGGTGATGTGCGTATTGGAACAGTTCCAATTTTATTTAAAAAACTGTTTAGTTTTCGACTCTATTTAAGAATGTCACTCTCATAGATGTGTGAATCTTTTTCATTTTTTACTGATCGTTGACGAACGAATGGTGGAGATTACCCTACGCCTGGTAATAAATCCGTATTACCACCACACATTGCCTGAAAATTCAGGGATTACCCTATGGTTGGTAACTCTGCAGTACAAACAGTGCATAGTGACGATTTTATAGTTCCAAGGTGGATGGCAGCTGCTTTGGCAGAAATAAGGTGTGCCCCTTTTACATGGGTGGAAGTTATTTCAAGCCATGCACTGATTGATAGGATTTTTGGCCGCCGTCTCGAGTAGCGTCGACATCGTGTGATGCCGTTGAATGAGGCATCAAAAAACTGGTGAAAACACTGCGCGTAGTTCAGCCTTAGGATGTGTGCTCTAAAAACTTGCAAATACAGTGCAGTGAATGCAGCACATGACAAAAACATGAACTTTACTCTTTCAGGACTGCATAAGAAAAGGGCATCCAGGAAGGGTGTTGAAAATTGTTTTAAAAATTAAACTGAGGCATAGCACTATATTTTTGTTACGTACATCAAAATGAAGCTATTAAAATGGTCTTTCATCAAAGTTGAAATAACAGACGTAAAGCTTATACATAGTAATTATAAAAAATTTTCTTTTGAACGCTTGCTGCTGGGACAGCATAGCAAGGTTAGAATAAACATAAGCAAAAGTGCCCCTGTTAAAAAAAATCCTATGTATGCAAAACATGGTTTATTGTCTCTTTTCTTACATAGAAAAACTTGATACACATATCAAAATTTTGTGTGTGTGTGTGTGTGGTTCAAAACAAGTGCAGTGCTCATGCCCGAAAGTGCTTATACCAACCACTCAAGGAAACAGTTCTGTGCAGTCATAAAACACAAATGTACTTAACAGGTACTCTAAAATTATTTGTTTTCTTTAGCCTGCTTTTCTTCTGTTGATAATTGACCTTGCAATTATTGCACATATCTAGTTTTTCTGGCTTGGGGAGTGTGTGCCTTGCAGACGCTGGTGGAGGAGGCGGTGCAGTGCGGGTTGGCCTGGCATCGTTAAGACTGTGCATTTTGTGGTTCTTCTCTGAAAGCTTGTTTAGACTATCAAACAGAAATAAAATGACGTGAACAGAGAGCAGGGCTCTTTGGTTACTCACGAGAGAAGCAGATGTGAAACTGCGCTCACCTACGATTACTGGCTGAAGTACCGGGTCAATCCTCGCCTGAAGCGCTGTCCGAAATAATATCTTAGCTGCCAATTATTTTTGGGCTCTTCGATGCCGGGCTTGATCACTCGGAGAAGGCTATCTCGGAGAAGGCCAGCTATCACTCGTAGAAGGCCATCTATCAATGGCTGATTTGAACATGGTGCACTCTTTCGTTACAGAGATCGTCGCGGGAGGCCGCGACTTGTCCACTTGTGCGTGTGCGATCACACTGAAAAAAGCCAGGTATTCAAAAAAAAAAAGTGCTCAAGGTCACGAGGCGTGCGTGATGTTTTTCTTTGCCTTTGCCATCCCTCCCTGCTTATATTCTAGCACTTTTGTCAGGACGAAAGAAGAGAGAATGCAATTGCAGCATGGGACGAATCTTTGTAACTCCACTTGCACTGGACGGATTCTAAAATTTTTGAGGCATTGAATTTGTGAGGCAATCCAGTGAATTCATTCCATAGTTACGTGAAAAAGTGTTTCAGGGCCCCTTTAAAGAAAAGTCCATCATTGCCATTTGTAGAAAGTAACTCATGACCTAGAGTAAAATATCAGTTACCTTGCGTGGAGCGTAAAGTCGCAGCAAACTAGCTACGGACTGTACATCATAAACGTGCCCGCAGAATTACTTGTAACACTTCAGCCAATTTTGTTTGGCGGAATGAATGGGAAATGGGATTCATAGTTAAAAACATAATATCAGGGCTTGTACTTTTCTTGAAAACTCCTTTTGATATAATACAGGTTAGATAGCGTGCTGCTCTTCACTACACTATGCTATATGCAGGTGGTGTAATAAATCAGTAGCTGTGGTTTGCAAAGGTATTGGCACACATGATCAGAAATACATATGGTCACTGTGTTGTGTATCCTAAAGCAATAGCTGCATGGTATGTTATGGTAGCTGTGGTGTAGGGGGGGGGGGGGGGTAGAAAATGCTTACTGAGCCAGTGGCGCCACTGTGCAGGAGTGAAAGCTTTTGGCATGCTCTGTGCAGCTGCCCACCCATGAGTAGAGCCGAGAGATTGTTAGCTGTGCTTTGCAATGTAGCATATGACTTGCTATGCAGTAAACTGTGTCAATAACTATAAGAACTACATACGTGGAACAAAGTTGTCCATTTTTCTGCTGTGACCATGCTTCAGAAACTGGCGGGAATACTACGTTAGTGTATGCCACATGAAACAAGTAATTCTGCAGGCACGTTTATGATGTACGTGCTGTAGCTAGTTCGCTGTGACTTTACGCTCCACGCAAGGTAACTAATATTTTAGTGTTGACGGAATCGAGGGACAACTGGCAAAGTGATCTTGAGTCTACATTTTGTTGGTGAAAAACCATCAACAGATCCAGCAGTTTTTTCTCGTTTGCTGCTGCTGTTTTTCTGCTGTACTGCAGTTCGTCTAGAGGCACTGTTCGCAAACAGGAACGTAGTAAGGAAAAAGCCCTACGTATTTTAACACAGCGCCCAACTACGCGGACATAAGATAAGAAGAGACAAACCTCAGCGCCCTCCTGCATGCCTGGCAAAACGCGTCCCGGACCATGATAAAAGTAAAATTTATTCCCCGTGTGCTGCCAGTGTCATTAACAGCACTGTACTTGCATGCGAAGCTGCGCCACACCATTTTATTTCACTGCATGACAGCTAAAATGTGTGCAAAGCGGGCATGTGACAAACTTACTCAAGCACTCGTGCAGCCCAAGCGATGCCTATGAACGGAGCTGAACTAAAGCACAGGAAGTTTTGCGAAACTGCTGTACATTAAAGGGCCACTCACCAGGCCCCATACCGAATTTTAGTTAGACAGTGGAAGTTGTTGGGTGTCCTATGAGGAACATTTTGCCACAAAAATTTTTCGAATCGGTTCATCACAAGGGGAGAAAACAGGTTTTTTGAGGCGGCGCAAAACGAGGATTAGAGGAGGTGAGCTCCAAACTTTTGCCGCTCCTCCGCGTAGCCTTCGCAAGCCAAATCTCTTCTTCCCCCCCCCCCCCCTCTCCAGCATCCGACCATGAGGTGACGTGCCAAACAAATCCAACCCCCGACCACGCAAGCAGCGTTGCTTTGTTGACCAGCGTTATTTCGTGGTCTTCTGCCTGTTTCTGCGGGATGGTTTGGAAACGCTGGCTTAGACGCGGTAAAGTAGATGAGCACAATAAGTGGGCGAACGCGTAGGAGCGTTCCACGGCGGTCGTCTTCTTAATGCGCTGACCACGGGGACACGAACGCATACGAAACACTGGCCCTGCATCTTGTAGCATTTCACAGGAAAGAATGAAAGGAAAACGCTCACAATTCTTTATTGCGTGTCATTATTTATTTAAAGTTTTATTAATCTCTTAAAGCAACAAATACATAAACTACGCATGTTGTGTTAAACAATTTTTGCCATGTCACGTAGTACTCTGTTGACAACGTCATAGCAGAGTCGTCTACGTAGAGGACCAACGTCACTGCATTGCCGTGTACATAGGGCCATTGCTACGCCCACGTCATGCCCTCATTCTCTACGCGTGCGCCGGCAAAGGGGAGGAGCAGCGTTCATCTTGAAATTTGACTCATTTCCGAAGGGCGTAGCATTGCAAATTTAGGCTGACATGATCATGAACGCCTTGTCTAATCATTGCACTTGTCAGCTCGAAATTGTCATACCTGGTGAGTGGCCCTTTAACAAATGAACCACGTGCCGTTGAGCAATTGTACATTTTACTTGTGTCCATCACAAGGTGCTGTCTAATGCATATAGGACACAAATGCTATCATTTACTGAACAATAAGCAATCAAAATGACAAGAAAAAATGCATAAATATATCAATGGTAACGGCATATGCTTAGAGGTTTACACTGGCCGGCTGCACAAATCATTCATTAAGCACACTTTCTCACATGTCCGTGCTCTCTGTCGCATTGAAAACATGATTGATTTTGTATAATTTGTCCTTTTTTTAGTAATAAAAGAATCCTGCACTTGCACATTTGTTGTTTTATTAAAGATGTCGCTTTCATGCACACATATTTGCATACAACGCGCATATAGCAAATGGAGAAATAGTCCATAGCACGCCAGTTGAAGCTGAAGTGGCCACAAATGGTTACTTGTGGTGTATTAGTGCTGTCATGAAGTTAATACACTGTTACATTAACTTTGAGTGCAGTGGACTGTTGTGCCACCTGTAGGTGCTGCACGTTTCTCATATACGGTGACAGAGAAACGAGCCAAAAAAAGTTTCTTTGCTTTTGTTTTGGTGTAGCATATGGTCAACATTGTGGAGTTGCAGACAGCAGCACTAAGCAGTGACATATAGACAGCATTAGCACACCGCAATGTCATAACTACTGTGCATTCAGATGACCATAAAGTATACAATGAAGGTTGACAAGTAATCATTGAAATATACTAGTAGTACCGCCCTATTATGCTATCACATAATATTCAGTTGATCAAGTGTTGCATCAAAGACTTGCAGGTACCTTTTTTCTTTCAAAAAGTATTTATTTAATGCCAAATTTTTTGAGACATTTAAACTTGAGCTCTAGTGTTGATGTCCTTGTGATTGTCTTTTCGTAGGAGGCCGTTCCAAGCAGACTATTGTCATAGTCACTACGCCCACTGGCAGAATGCAAGGCCAGGGCTTCCCCGACACTCACACAACGACCACAACCACAACAACTAGGTCTGTCTCATGGCTGGTCTTCGACCCATCCTATCTGCGAACCTTACCAGGCATCTTGAAAGGAGCTCAAATTGTAAGCTGCTTCTAGACTTGTATGTTCGCTGCTGGTGATACCCATAAGCTTGAAGCAGTGCCATATCTTGTGTATAAGGGAAAGATGACTTGCTGCATGCTGAAAAAGTGACCTTAGATGCTACTGCCTCATGAATTGTCTTGTGCTGTCTGCCAGAATCTATCAGTGTGTTGTAGTTGTGGCTGGGGCTTTTCCTTGAAATAATCTCTGGAAGAGGCAACCTCTAAAATCAGGCTCATCATTTCAACTCAGTTCACTGAAGTTTGCTCGCTTTTTGCTCATGGCAGGAGTGATGACAGTCAGTGTAGAAGTTAACTTCAATTGGTACCACTTGAAAAAGTAGAAAGTTTTGCAAGTGTGGCAGGTAGCAGTGATCATGGTTGAAACAGAAAAACGAAATGGGAAATACTGATATTCTTACATCAGGTGTATATACGCATCATGTGTATGTATGTTCCGTCACGTTACATCACGTGTATATAAGTGTGTACGCATGTGTATATACGCATGCATAATTGAAAAATTTGAAAGAGTAGGATAGGGGGGGATGTTTGAACTTCCCAATAACCCCTGCTCCTGGCTACGCCAGTGGCTAATAGTTGCCGAAGGTTCTGTTGCCACCAGAAGGGCTTCTGTGAGGTGCCTGGAGCAGCAACAGATAGGTGACAACATTTAGAATTGGAAATCCATCAGACCATACAACACTTTGTTCTAAAGGTGCTGATAGTGTCTAGTGTGTGTAGCATTAAAAAAAGCATTTCCTCGAGTTTTTCTCAATACTTGAAAATACCTTGTTTGAGTTTCACTAGCTCTGCTCATACTACGTTGTCGCTGCCCCGCCGCGGTGGTCTAGTGGCTAAGGTACTCGGCTACTGACCCGCAGGTCGCGGGTTCGAATCCCGGCTGCGGCGGCTGCATTTCCGATGGAGGCGGAAATGTTGTAGGCCCGTGTGCTCAGATTTGGGTGCACGTTAAAGAACCCCAGGTGGTCGAAATTTCCGGAGCCCTCCGCTACGGCGTCTCTCATAATCATATGGTGGTTTTGGGACGTTAAACCCCACATATCTATCTATCAACTACGTTGTCCCTATACCATGTGTTTGTATTTTTGCCCTCATTCTGCTGTTTAAGGAATTGCGAAATTGTGACCACATATTGTAACTATGGTAAATTTAGACAAGCACTACATCACCTTGTTGAGAAGTGGTGTCCTTGGGCTAAATAGTATCATTTTACACTCTTGTATGCTGCCACTTCCATATGAAACATGGGATTTTCAAGTCTTTTTTACTCAGCTGTCTGTCCAACTGTCACTGATTTCTTACTGACCTTAAATAACAAGTGCAATTATTGTCCTTGCAGTGGTCTGTGTTCTTTTATTTCGTCCTTTTTTAAAGTGCAGTTCTGTACTTACCGTATTTACTTGCATAATCCTCGCACTTTTTTGTGCGGAAAACCGATGCAAAGTTGGGGGGTGGGAGAATTATGCGGGGAAAACTTTTCACGAAAACGTAGAGAGCAAAAAAGAAAACAAAGTGGCCGCAAGACGTGATTATCACGGGAGAACAATAAAAGCACAGGTTCAACGCAAGGCAACATTTATTTGAGACACAAAAGGCGCAATGAAATAGTTGAGAATTAGAATACTGAACGCAAAGCTTGCGGGCATTGTGGGTGTAGCAGTAGCATTCGTCACTCATCAGGAGCCCTTAAAAGGTAAGCGAAGAACGTCAGTATTGGGCTGATGGCCATTTAACAGAATCGTCTCCAGTTACCTTCTAAAGAAGTAAAGTTTACCATCGATCCCAGTCTTAGGCACACGGAAGGCCCAACATGTCTTGGTAGCTTTCAGCTGCAATCACCAGTAGCAAACGCAAAACTGTACTCTCGAAGGGCCTACCGGCGGCCCTGTTGCCATTAGTTAGTGCATGGTCCATCACTTTCAACTTGAAAGCAGCTGTGTAGCTTTTGTATCGCCACATAACGTAACAAGATTACAGACTCAACATACAAATCACGCCACAACGCGTGCTTGCCACTTTGGCTTGGATTGGATTGGATTGAATTTTGGTGCAATAATAGTATGCTCTATGGTTAATAGATCATAACGCTATCATCATCAGTGGCTGGAACGAGTATGCAACATTATTGTGGCAAATTTCAGGGGTGCGATAATTACTCGAGGAAAAAGAGAAATCGTATTTTTGTTGGGCGATGACGGTGGTGTGAGAATCATGCGAGTGCGAGGATTACGAGAGTAAATACGGTACAAATATTTTCATGATAAATATTTGATTGAATACTATGTTTTCAAAATTTTTTCCTCACGTTTCAACCGTAAGAACTAACAAAATAATGAAATGCATTTAAAGCTGTATACGAAGGAAACGCACCATTAGAACACCTCAATCTGAGAGAAGTTAGCTTTCAGTGCATATAAAGATTTAGTTAGTACATAAGTCCCCTTAGCAAAAAGGGGCATGTGGTGACAGAAAAAAACAAAAAATTGCTATTCGTGACAGCAGCAATGCTTCCTATGAAAAAGGCAGAACTGAGTAGCATTACTACTCGGGACTGAAATACAACATTGAAGGTTCCTTATTTCAAAAGCAATATATAGCAACATAACACAGTGTTGAGTGTTGAGAATATTTTTGCTGATACTGACAGTACTGGTTATCTAAAAAAAACAGTCCAGAAAGTGTTGCTACATTGTTTTTTTAATAATAAATCTTCATAAACATTTAATAAACAGTCCTGGCACTACCTTTATTATGGACATTCACGGATTATTAGCATGAAAACTAAAGCTTATTGTTTTCCAATGGAAACCCAAAGAATTGCGTTAAAAAAAAACATATCCTTTTGTTGTGTACCCTGTTTGTTCTTCCTCTTGTTATAGAAGTGCTTAATGGTGCTGTCATTGCAGATTATTAACCTGATCGGGTTCATCTGCTCTCAACTGGACTACTACTTTCCAAGCACGTCCAACTGGTATGGATTTGTGTCAATGACCGCATTTTGGGTTACGCTGGTGCTCCTCTTCTTCTACATTTTTCGCCTGATTGAGAAGATCAAGATTATTCCTTGGATGCTTGCGGTTAGCACACCTTTTTTGTCTCTGTTTGGAAGTTTTCTTCTGTAAATTATAGTTGCTTTTTTCAGATAGATCATATTTAACTGCCTTCTTTGTGCATGGTTTAGGTTGAGAAATGTGGAAATATTTCACTAGATAATGTTTATTTAGCAAGTTCTTGCAAACTCAAGGATACAGGTTTGATTCCCATTCATAGTATTGGCATTTCTCTGACGAAATAGGATAACACCTGCGTACACTCATGAGCAATATAAGAGAGAGCACTGAAATGGCCTTTTGAAGGTTATAATGGCTAAATACAGTTTACATGTGCAAAAGTGTTCTTAGTGCTAAATGTTCAGTGTACACCTGTATCTAAGCCCAGTCATCAGCATTTTGATAGGAAACTCCAAATTTGTGTTTAATCAACGATTACTTGCAGTTACCTATATGAATGTGGTGTAGCAAATCCCAAAGGTATCTCTTGCAATTCAGTGTATCACATTAGTATTAGATGCCCCGTCGCGATGGTCTAGTGGCTAAGGTACTCGGCTGCTGACCCGCAGGTCGCGGGTTCAAATCTCGGCTGCGGCGGCTGCATTTCCGATGGAGGTGGAAATGTTGTAGGCCCGTGTGCTCAGATTCGGGTGCACGTTAAAGAACCCCAGGTGATCGAAATATCCGGAGCCCTCTACTACGGTGTCTCTCATAATCATATGGTGGTTTTGGGATGTTAAACCCCACAAATCAAATCAATCACATTAGTATTAGTTGAATACACATCATTTATTAGACATGTATTCGGTGTACATCAAAAAAGTGCCTAGTGGTCAAAGTGCATCTGGAAGTACCCCACTTTAATCATGTCATGATTCTTGGTTGGTAAAGGCTCAGAGCTTGAGTTCATATTCTTTCTGCAGATTCAGGAAGCTGTTCTAAACGGTCAAACAATATAGTACATTTAACGAAAGCAAAGTAATAAAATCCAAGAGGCTTTTTTTATGCAAAACATAACATAATGAAGTCATAAGAAACATCTGCCAGGTTAAATGGCTTTGCAGCACCTTCCCAAGTGGTAATTGAATGACCTCACTGTAGGAGCTTATTGCCTTGTGGATCTTTCAAAAAAAAATTACAGCATATTCACGGAGGGAATGATGATGAGTGGGGCAAAGCTTCAGAGAGTTTTACTGCTAAACCGTGAAACCTCCGTCCGTCTTGACTGTCCATCTGTCTGTCTGCCCGCACCTGCTGAGTGAGTCGTAGAATTAGTCGGTCACGTACCAAGAGAGACATGCATGTACAGACCCAGAGCTTAGGGAGCTTCGCCCCTAAAAAAAACACTTGGGCCATCTCCCCAAAAGAAACCCTGATGGGATGCGAAGCAGCAGCGTTGCATAGGGGTGGTGCCACGGGTTGAACAGTGCCAATGCGGGGGCTGCAGTGAGCGCTGGAAGATTCATTTGAAGCTATGCCTGGCGTAGGTTTTGTATGTGACACGTACAGACATGTTTCAACGCGTACGTTAGGCGCATGTCAAGTTTATTGTGCGTGAACAGACGAGTCTGCAGCATAGCAAGCGGCGGTTGCGGCAGGTGTTGCGGAGCGAATGGACGAAGCGGCAGCTGCGGGCGCCGCGGCGAGCGTGCAGCAGGCGAGGCAGAGAGAGACCTCGAATAGCACTGCGAGGGGAGCGTGACGTCAAAACGCATCAGCGCCGTGACCTACTTGGCACCGCGCCAACACCTGCGGTGCGGGTCGTACGAAGGGACAGCGTTACACAGGCTAGTCAAAGAGCTGCTTTGCAACTACAATACTTTGGATCCTTCAAGAGGAGTTGCAGAGATTTGTCGCAAGCTCTGAGCACTTTGTCAATTTTGTCCCAATGAGTGGGCTGAAAGGTATACAGGGAGGGATGACAAGGGGGCAGGAAGCTATGTCAGTGCATGTCATGGCCTGAGCGTTTCAGGCGAGTGGTGGCCACAGTACCTGTACAACACAAGCATGAATGTTGCCCTGAAGTATGGCCGAGCCTTATGCGAACCTGATTGATATCAGCTTTGTTTTGCATAGCTTAACTGACAGAGAGTAAACTAATCAAGGTTGCTCATATTAAAGGGGGTTCAATTAGCTAAATGCAAAGGATATATACTGAGGTGTGCAGCTCGTGAGGCTCATTGGAGAAAACAAGCATGCACTGGCTAGTGTACTAGTAGTTCTGGAAATAACAGTGTACATCTGTAGCTACCGTTGTAGCCGGCTTAGTTCAAGACTAGTGATTGGCTCATCGCACGCAGTACCACTTCACATGAGCATATGAAAAAGCAGAACTTTGAGCAAGCAATTATCAATCCAGAATAATGCAAGGATGAGATATTTTTTCTGTGTCTTTCAAGACTTATATCTGCATATTTTTTATTTATTTAATTTGTCACAGGCTCTGAGCACTTTCCGTTTTGTCGAAACACACAGTAGAAATGTCACGAAGGTTTTTTGCTCAACTGTGGAATCATGCAATGGCAGTGAGCTTTCCTTTGTCTCCACAGTCAGTTCTGTCAACTGTGTAGTTACTGAGAGCAAAGAAAATAATCTCCTACTGTCTTTACTATAAAATTATGAATTCTTTACTGTGTGCAGTGCTATATTTGGTTTGCATGTTGACAAGAGTCTTGCGCACTGATCGGCATGTTTTCTGGCTAAATCAAAAAATATTGTAGGGCTCCTTCAATTGGTATGCTAAATTTATGTATGAAATGAACTCGGGTGAATTAATTGTAAACTTTTTGCTTGTTGAATTCAGATGACATCTTTCTTTATGCTCATAGTATTTTGTCAATTATAATCACCCAGAACTTCAAAAGTCTGCAGTATTTCTTCCTCAAAGGCAGATGCACAAACGCCTGCATCACTGAATACACACTCCAGATTGACATCATGACAATGGTGGCTGGCTACCACACCTTCGGAGAACGTTGCCAGCTTTCTAGTTATGTGCACATGCATTTGCACAAGGCTTACCCTACAAGTGTGGCCAGGAAGGGACGCGACATTCCTCCACTGCCTTTATGTACAAAAACTCTATGGCCGCAGGTTCATAGATTCTTGTGACATGGGGAACATCAGGCACTCAAGGCACGGGGTCAACAAATAGGTGTTATCAACCCAAGATTTCAAGATGTAGCACAGTGACATTCATGAGATGCCGGCCTGTACAGGGTAACTGATTACAAGAACGATCAAGCAGGCCTGTAGCTTTTGAGGGGGTGTTAGCCCCTTCTTCTTTCCCAAAATTTAGATGAAGGTGGTTGTTTTACAGGGGACAAAAATAAAAGTATCTGTTTTTCAAGGCCTTCACTAAGCTCCTTCCCCCTCCACCCCGAAAAATATTCCTGGCTAGGGGCCTGCGATCAAGTATTTTTGCCTGTGGTGCTATTGGCTACTGAAAAAAGGGGACTGCTGGCCATGCGATTGAGAAGTTTCTCTGTTAAGACAGCGTGTGCCTGTCACTGCGGGCGTGCGAGCATCTTCACAGCAGCAACTAAGGGCCAGACAGAAACAAGCTTAAATGGAGAGGCCATCCGGGGGCTCTCATTGTTTTCCAATGAGGAAGGCCTTGACCTAGTGAGGTATGTTAGTGTGACGTGGTGCCAGGATGTCTTTATGCCGGGAAGGGAGCGTGGCCAGAAGGTGGAAGCTCTCTATACCTCCCATGGGGGGCACTCTCACGTGCTGCTCACTGCAGCAGCACTGCGTTCCACACTGGCGGCTACCGGGTATCCAACTAGAAATAGTTCACAAACAAAACATATCTTCCATGCCATCACTGGTGAGGTCCGGAAATAGAGGGAAATGGTGCAAAACAAAGAGGAGGATTGTTGCCACGGAAGCGTTCTTTTTCACAGGCAAGTGGAATGTGTTCGTGCAGGTCCACTGGCCGCTTGGGTGATGCAGCGATTCATGAAATTTAATCATTTTTAAAATTTTGCAGGAGTGTTGTGATGTGGAGAAATAAATTTGAATGCTTTCTGATTAAGACAAAACTTTATTAACAACTGTAACATTTATATCTTTGTTCTTAATTACACGTTTCACACTAAAAGAAAACATACAAGTACTGTGAAAGTGTCATTCTGGAAAACAGCCTCTCGCAACTGAAATACGCAAATAATGAGCGAACATTGAACCCAGGATATCTGAAGCAATACGAAAAGTGTTAACGATAACAAGCAAGCCATGTCATACTTTACTCAATCACGTTTGTTATGGTGGTGCATAGTACTTCTTTCTTACAGAAGTTGATTACCAAACAAAGCAGATGTTCAAGGTGAAATGGAAGCGGGAATCGATGAGAAATTGTTGAACAGGGAATTCTGTTGGAGACACTACGTTTTGGCATCATCTTGGAGGACACTTTTTGTAAAACATTGGTTTCAGCGACATTCCATGCTAAACGATTTTCTAAAGTGTCAGTGAGCCGACTGCATGTAATTTAGGGAGAGTATTATATGTAAGTAAATGCCCACAAAGTTTCAAAATGGCTACATGAATTTCCATGAACAGGAAGGAGCCTATAATCAATAGATATCATTTGAACTACATGCCAAAAGTAAGATATGAACAAACAGTGTAGCCAGAGAAACCCGCATTCAAGGCTTTCATTTAACATATTTTGTGGGCAGCAGTATGTTCTCACCCCGCTGCGGTGGTCTAGTGGCTAAAGTACTCGGCTGCTGACCCGCAGGGCGCGGGTTCGAATCCCGGCTGCGGCGGCTGCATTTCCGATGGAGGCGGAAATGTTGTAGGCCCGTGTGCTCAGATTTGGGTGCACGTTAAAGAACCCCAGGTGGTCGAAATTTCCGGAGCCCTCCACTACGGCGTCTCTCATAATCATATAGTGGTTTTGGGACGTTAAACCCCACATATCAATCAATCAATCAGCAGTATGTTCTCGTCATGACTAATTAGTAGTGTTGCGACATTGCGCTTATGTCTATCCTGTCAGGTTTGCCAAGAACTGGGTCTGTTGATGTACTCATGCAAAATGAATACCTGCTCAAATAATAGATCCAAATATTTGTGCTCACCCGTTTTCGCCAGAAAACGTGAAAAAAATCTGCGTGAGACTGGTAATTCTTAGTTTAACGCACCACAGAGCCGCGCAGAAAATGTGATGCCCTGGCTTAGCCATCTTTATCTCATGCATCGTTGACCTGCTCAGCATAGCTTACTACGGCTTCTGTTCCCTGTATGCCACGTCAAATGTCTTAACTTTGCTGTATTTATACTTGGCATGTCAACTCAGGGAGATAACTGCAGAAGATCAGACTTGTGATATTGATTGCTAAGCGAGTGGCAAGGGTGAGCGGCGGCAAGCGCTAGAAGCACAAATCATTGAGTTCCCACGCTTCACCTGATTTAAAAATCGCAAAATGTGAAATAAAAAGGAGAAAAAGAAACAATAGAAGACTTTTTTACGGCTCAAATTTTATTGTTAATAATTTGGCACATTCCACGTACCTTGGAAATTGATGTTATACGAATCATGCTGATGGAAGGTGACTATGTTGTATTTTTTTGAGTGAAATGTGAAGAAGTTGTGCCAAAGATATGTACAAATGCACGCAAAGACTTGCGTTAAACAGCCATATATGTTTTATATAAGCAGCTTGTTTAAGGTTGCGTAATGATGCCAGCAGCATGAATATTAGCTTCACCAAAAGCGGTAAGCTGATTTGAAGTGCTCGTGCTTGCGGGGATAGTAGCCCTGGACACTGCTACATAAATCAACTTCAGTGGATTGCACCTAACTACAATTGTCATTAACCCAACGTAATGGTCGTATCATAGTACGCATGTAATCTTTATAAAATTAGCTGGCCAGCACTGCAGCCAGGATTGACGTTGCATAAGCATTAGTCTATTTGAAAAGTAGCTCCAAAACATGGTGTGGCTGTGTGATAGAATACTTGATTGCCACGCAGAATGCTGGGGTTCCATTCTTGCTGGGACTCTGACATTTATTCTTTGCATTTGTTGGGTCAACGCTGCCGATGTCAACTTTTTTCTTAACGCTCATGCATTAAAATTACCCCTGTCTGTTCTTGGTGTCCCTGGGTAGATATAAACTGTCTCTCACTTGGGGCACATACCCACATACGTGTTGCACATACCCATCTGTGGGTTTGTGCCACACACCTAGTTGAAAGGTTTTGATGACGTACACAATGGGAGTGTGACATTATTTATGTCATGACCTGCAAGTCATGTTTGTCAAGCCATCTTACCCTTCCATACTAATTTTGGTTTACCCCAAGTTAAGGATGTGATCGCAAGAACACCCAGATGTAGGCAGCTAGACAGACAGATGGACGGACACAGACATGCGCACTCAAAGTACGTGTACTATACAAGGAAATTAAAAACTTTGCATTTAAAAACTCTTAAAATGACAATAATTGTGTACATTCACATAAATGTCACTTAGTTGCACCAGATCATGACATTCTAGCAACCGTTACGAATGCACATGTTCCTTGAAACTTAAACTGGTTCTCAGTTTTTGTGGCCTGGCGTGGCCTGCATAGAGAACAAAGCCCAGTGTTATGGCGGCATGGCTGCCACGCTGCTGTTTGGCTGGCATTCTTGGCAATGAACCAATGCGGTGCTGGCACAGCGTACTAGCTGGGGTACGAGACTCAGTAGGATGGGCACTCTCGATTCCCACAGAATTAATCTTCAGCCTTGCATCACAGCATCTCTCGTGTCTAGATTGTTACTTTTTGATTCAATACCCCAGAACTTAGTTTTTAAATAATGGGATAGCACATAAGTGCATCATTGGATGAAAGGACTCGAAATTAGCTATTGTAATTATTATGCTTTGTATGTAAACCCATTTCTCAGCATTTTATGGTATATGTTTCAGTGTTTTATTGGGTGCATATGCCATGGTGCCAGTTTTCAGCTTTATAGCAAAAAAATAAATGTCTGTTTCAACATTTTATTTGAAGGTACTTCATTTATTGTGAAATCAATATGTTGTTCATGTTTTTTTTTTTTTTGTTGCTGTATATGTATGTAGTAAACAGTGCTACAAAAGCAGCACCTCAAGATACTGTTTATTGTGCAGTCTATCCTCATCAAAGCTTGTTAGTCTTACTGTTTCTCAAATAGCGAATAAACTGGCTGTTGTATACACTGTTCTGCATATTTCTCATGGGGTACTATATATACATCTGTATTTGACCACAGTATCATTTTTTTACTTGTAGGAGTTCGTGTACTGCGGTGTCTGGGCTGCTCTTTATTTCACAGCTGCCATAGCTGCAGCTGTCAAAGGCAGATATCAAGAATGTCTGGCAGCTGCTGCTGTAAGTAGACTTTGTTTCATTGACCATGCCACAGGTTCCCTTACATTCACAGAACCAGGAATATACAGTGCTGGTAATTAAACACCTACTGGAGGTTTGTGAAATTGTCTATTTTGTGCCAAGATTTCTGTGTGTGCATGTGTGTGTGTACAGTAGTGGCATATTGAAAGGAGACAGTTCTTGTTAGTATAACGACTGCCATAAGCAATTGCTCATGATAGCTGCTTCATATCGCTGCAAATGTGGCTGCGTAAGAAAGTTAGCACTTAAATGTGTGTTCAAATCTAAATTTCACCGATATGACACTAGCTGTAGACACTGGAAATGAAGTAGATGTGGCACATAGCCCTAAATGTTTTAAATTTAAATCTGCGAGTACTGTATGTGCGCTCTCTAGGTGAAGCAAATGACCTTGTTGGCCACACGTTCAGGGACATTATGTAGTAATACAGTCCGACCTGACTATATTATACACGGGTAAATCGAATTATCCTTTGTTTTCTTATTTTTGATCACAGTAATGCTCTAATGTCAATGCATAGCAAAATTTATGGCTACATCAAACAAAAACAGCCAGAATACTTCAGATATCAAATATTGGGTAGTGGGAAATGTCCAAGGAAGTTTACTTTCTTTCAAGTTTTTCGGAACCTTTTGGCTTTTCCTCACGGAAGAGGATTTTGCTACTTGCATTTAGGAGACTGAGCAGTACGATTTGGAAGATGCTGCATGTACTTACTATACTCAACGAGAACTCTTATTAACAGCACTGTGGAATCTACAAAAACAAAATGCATGCCTACTATGGTGCCAAAACAATAGTACTCAAGTTTACTGATAGTTTTTTTTTTTTTCATTTGCCTTGCTGAAATAAATACTGCCTTATTTATTATGAGACGAAAACAATCGCAGGAGGTTGTGGGTAAAACAGTTATTGTTCACTTTCCTTTTCTTTCCATTTCTTAGACAGTACCACCTTTTCAGCTTTCCAAGGAAACATGGCATCCACGACGTCAATGTCCGGCTGGAATTGCGCTGTTTAGTTCTCCAAGAAAAATATATTTGTAATAGGAAATGAAAATGCACACTGAACAATAGAAATGTTTCTCTCATTCATAATTTCCATGTATATCTTATTTAAGTTCATTCGTTGCAAGTGAGCAAAACCGAAATCAGTTGCAAGCTGCTGTACTAATTGCGGACAGAGCAACACAAATGTGCAGAAGCCCTGCCTTTGTAGCCTTTGTAGCCTTCGTTTTAATGTCAAGATCAGTTGTCACAGAGTATAGAAGCTACCGCTTGCTTTCACGTGCTTTCTGCCCCATGATTCGTTGTTGTTGAGCCTGTGGCCTTTCTTGTGAAATCTCCATTCGCTTCACCTCTGGTTTCGCTCAATGCTTTGCACTTGCCCGCAAGGCCTCCCTAGTTTTTCTCTTCAACTACCTCATTTCGCACCACAGAAGCAAGAGACGGGGAGGAGGGTGGAGGCGGTCGCCATATGTCTAGACCACCGTGGTCTATACTGAAGCCGCCAGCGCTGCAATTGCTGTGGACAGGTTGCAGTTGTGTTTTATTCATTTATGGTTGCCCATTTTCATTGTTAGTTTTACGGTGTTTGGTATATACATTGGGCGCTGTAAAAATGAGCATAGAATGAACATAAAAAAAAAGAAAACTATAATCGAGTGAACAAATGTGCATACAGGTATGCTGTACGCTCTGCTTTTTTCCGCAGTTTACTCTGCCTTTAGCATAGTCAGTCAGCACGATTTCTCCAGCAGCTGGACGCGCGAGGCATGCGAAACTTTTTTTCTGGAGAGTGTGGGGATTGGGACGGCTGTAAAGAAACCCACCGACGCTCATTCTTGGAGGCTGTGTCCATATTAGCGCGTGTCAGCCAGTGGCCACAAGGTGGCGACTCTGCTTTCTCAGGGTGAGAGTTACTCAATATGCTACCTTTAGGTAGCAGAGTTGCCCCACTGATAGAACTCCCCGCTCGCGCCCCTATTCGCTAAGCGCGCTCACGTGCGCAGAAAACGTTCATTTTAGAGAAAGCCAACTTTACGGCCGTGCGAGCGCTGCAACCGCCGCGCCACTAGTGCCACCGCTGCCCAAGCAGTCCGGCGAGGCGATCCCTCCGAGTGCGGAAGTACTTTTTCGTTGGTGTTGTGGCTGTGTCCCGTGTTGTTTGTTTTTAGGGAACGTCAGTGTGTGGTGTCTGTGCGGTGCAGCGCCGTGACTCAGTGCTACGTAGTTGCCACGATGACCGGATCCTAAAGCTTTGTATAGATGTGCCGAAAATTCTCGTTTGCTTCTGTAAAACACAGAGGGATAGGTCTAGCGATTGTTTTATCGAGCCACCTGCCTAATCGTTTAAAGCGCTAAAAAACTACGCGAAACGAGCGATTTGCGGAACTTAAGTTGTCGTGAATAGTATACACGATTCTCGACAAATTAAATCAAGGCTTTCTTGTTTGCTATTTAAAGCAAAAATATCTTTCTATTCTGACCATTATTTATTCAAGTTTTTCCTTTTTTTTCCTTCGAATCAAAAGCAATTGCACCAGCAACGTGTTGTGAGCGAGCGAGAAAACGCATGGAATGGCTTGGCTGCATCGGCTCCTACATTCGGACGGGGTGGCTTTCCTGCATGACTTGGACGTCTCATTGAGCAAGATGGCAGATCTATGCACAACTCTGCTATCTAAAAGTAGCATATACAGTAACTCTACTTGGGGTCAATGTGCACGACGCGGCACTTGTGTGGCCAACTGTGATGAAGTGGTTTTGTTTTTTTAACCTGGGTCGTGCACAATAGCTACAACGGGCAGCATAACACGTTTGCAGACATCTCATCCGTCCCTTTTTTTTGTTGTTGTTACATACTCTAGTGATCCTGGGACAGCGCTTCCTCCATTTTATTAGCTAGCTCTAACCACAATAGAAAGGACTTCACGAGTTTGTCACATGCTTCACACTGACATCACACATGAATGAATCGCGCATGAAAAACAGCTGAGAGTGTGACGGGAGAGTGGTCCCCTTCACTTTTGCTGTGAATCACGTGCACGCTTGCAGGGGTTGTTGCTAACATTGTCATGATCATCAGAGAGTTTTAGTGTGTCCGCAAACATTTTAATGTGAGCATTAGCCTCTACTGAGTGGCCATGGTATGCATAGGGGTGTGCACGGAGGGAAGGGTGAGGGGCAAGGGGGCTGCCTCTTCTAGTCACCTTAAGAGGGGGGAGTGCAAAGTTAGCCTCATAAATTTATATAATAGGGAGGGGGCCTGCAACAAACTTCTGCCCCCCCCCCCCCCCCCCTTAAGGGAAACCTTGCGCATGCCTAGGGTAACGCCCAAGGTGCAATAAGCTTCACCTTGAGAAGAGAGGAGTGAGACAGAACGCGCTCGAGATGGTGGCGACAATGCAGCCGGTCTTTTCCCAGATGCTAACACAGGTTACTAAGATAGTTTCTTTGGCCTGGGACAGATGAATGACCCATTTGAAGCCCTGGTTACAGTTGGCATAACACGTGTCCCAGAAGCTGCCATGTGGCAGTAATAGAGACTTCCAGTTCTGGAGCCCCTGGTGGATTTCATACGTCAGCCCTTCTGTTTTTTTTGTACAATTAGTAATACAAGCTGGCACTTAATCTATAAACACAAAGCAAGGAAAGATAACATTTGCTCAATTAGATAGCTGGTCATTACACTAGTATTTTGGAACAACTTGAGAGCATATATATTACAAATGAGGAGGCATTTATGGGATAACCTGTTTGTTCCTACCCAGTCTAAAAAAATATCCATTAGAATATAACACAGATTATTATATGTGGCTTTTCTAGACACCACTGGAGCTTCCAAAAACATTAATTAGGAAATCTTATGGACATAGTGAAAGAGGCTGCCATAGACAATGACTGCATAAACTCGTGAGGAAGATTGAGATATGCTGAGAAATTGTAGTCCTCATGAATTGGAAAGGAATAAGTAGCAAAGAGTTTATATATTTATATAAGGAAGGGGCTGGGGCAGGAATGTTTGTTGCCCAGCTGTTATTCGTGCTATACATGATGAGGATAGAAAACGTTATAGAATGACGCAACACTGGTTTCAGTATGCCACACAAATAGATGAGTGTAACACTTATGCAGCAGCTTCCACGTTTATATTGTGATGGTGTCTTATTTGCGGATAACCGCAATGTTTTACAGGTCATTTATCTAGTAAAGCAGAGCATGGAGGTAGGACACATTCAGACAGGAACGTGAATTTCCAGAACTAGAACTTAGTGTAACAAATGAGGACGGATAATATTAAGCAATGCCAATAATCAGGTTACATCAATACAGGTTAAGTAAATACCGACGCTAAGATAACACAAGTACCTCGAAGTACAAACTATTGAGGGGGATATAAACAGAAAGATACATAAAAAAGCTACCACAATAAATTGAAAAAGGAATGCTGTAATAATAAAGCACATCGATTGATTGATATGTGGGGTTTAACATCCCAAAACCACTATATGATTATGAAAGACGTCGTAGTGGAGAGCACCGGAAATTTCGACTACCTGGGGTTCTTTAACGTGAATCCAAATCTGACCGCACAAGCCCACAGCATTTTCGCCTCCATCGAAAATTCAGCCACCGCAAATAATAAAGCACAGCATGTTATGGGAATACAATGGGCACAAGGCACTTCAAGGTCTGTGGAAAGGTGTAATGGTCCAGGAACTTATATATGGGAACTCAGTGTGGTGCATGAAGTCAGAGGTGCAATCAGGACTGGGTGTAAATCCAAAGACTCTGGGACACATTGAGTTGGCCGCTCATACGAAGATGACCCACTAGGCTGCAAAGGGTCATAGAATAAGCAAAAATTGAGGTGACAAATGCTCAGCACAAAATTAGATTTTATGAGAGGCTAAGGAAGAAAGCTGGCAGAAGTTTTTGTCAGGGATCAATTTATACACACACGAGGCTAAAGTCTG